CCAGCTACTCAGGAGGCTGAGGCAGGAGAATTGCCTGAACCCAGGAGGCGGAGGTTGCGGGGAGCCGAGATCGCGCCATTGCACTCCAGCCTGGGCAACGAGAGCGAAACTCTGTCTCCAAAAAAAAACAAAAACAAAAATTAGGGTTTAATTCTTGTCCGCCACTTCCATTCATGTTTTCCCCATGTCCAGTACAGTGTTCTAGAAACGTAAGTAGAACAAATGACCTGTAGTAGTGGAGAGACAGGTATTCAGATACTGATACCTTGATGTATTTGTTTGAATTAGATACGTAGAAACGATAATGGAGTTAGAGGAGATAGGGCATCTGATAACATTGATGGCAATTGGGTTAAGCATCACAGGGATTACCACAGAAACTGAGACATGTAGGTTGTATGTGTATGAGTGTGCATATATATATATATATATATATGTATATAAATATATATGCACACACATTTTTTTAAGCTGGATACATGCGCAGGTTTGTTATGTAGCTAAACTTGTGTCGTGGGGGTTTGTTGAACAGATTATCTTATCACCCAGGTACTAAGCCTAGTATTCATTAGTTATTTTTCCTGATCCTCTCCCTCCTCCCACCCTTCACCCTATGGTAGGCCCCATTGTATGTTGTTCCCTTCTTTGTGTTCATATGTTCTCATCGTTTAGCTCCCACTTATAAGTGAGAACATGCTGCATTTAGTTTTCTGTTTCTGTTAGTTTGCTAAGGACAGTGGCTTCTGGCTCCATCCATGTCCCTGTAAAGGACTATTTCTTTATTGCTGCAAAGTTGTACATATATGCTGGTATCCAAACATCTGTTGGACTGGCAGGGAACGTCAAATTCTATTGCATTTAATTTGGGATTATAGTCAGTGGTCACATGTATTTAACACTGTGATTTTGTGAGACAGGAAAGGAGAAGAAAATTGATGGTAAGGATTGCGAGAGAGATTGAATTATGAGCTCCAAGTTAGGAAGAGAAGAAAATAATACCCGAACAGAGCTGGTGGTTTGAATGAATTAAGGACTAGTGGTTCCAATGAAGTTGTGGAAGGTGAATTGTAATAAAAGAACTGAAAGGAGAGGTTATGATCAAAGTGTAGAAAGTTCAAGTCTGTATGTGATAGGTCACTCTAGATGACGGCAAGGTGCAAAGTATGGCTATGGGAAATTCCTGAGTGTTGGGAGTTGGATTGGAGAGAAATACTTAACTCGTTGCCAGAGTACTCATTTATGTGGGAGAAAGACTGGGTATTTGCTAGATAGCTGCTCTTGCAGTGGATAGGGTGGTGAGAGCTCATGAACTTCCATGGAATTGTTTTTTTTTGTTTGTTTGTTTTTTTTGTTTTTTTTTTTTTAACAAACAGTATATAAAGCAGAGAGAAAAATGTGAAAAGGAAAAAAGAAAGCAACAGTGAAGATTCACCAGTCATTCCTGTGGAGACTAAGATACTAAGAGTGAGAGACTCCCTGAGACTCCCTAAGAAGTGTCAGCGCTCTAGGAGATAGAGGAGGGTTTCTGTTAAGAGGAAAAACCTAAATAAAGTAGTTGTCAGTGTCTCGTGTAAAATGGAATAGGGCTCCAAAGCGCAGAGTGAGAAGGCAGCAATGGGAAGATAAGGAAGGAAGAATCATCAAGGATGATTTGAAATGGTAGATGTCTGGGAGAATTTGTACTTCCAGCTGCCTCCAAAGATGCCAGGGAAGGACATGCTGGGGTTTATAACTAAAAGGAAGGATTGTGAGGTCAAGCTGTTTTGTGTCCAGGCATTATATGGTGTCTAAAGCCAGATAACATCCCTTTTCTGCGGCCTCGCTAGCTGAATGCAGCTGTTGTTTTAGAACACCTCATAAAACATTTGTGAAAACTTCATTGCCTCAGAGGAAAGGAGAAATGTGATGAATAGGTTTCATTCCTTGGGGCTGGATTCTGAACTTGACCGAACTTCTAGCCCCTTTTTTCTTGGGATAGAGGGTGTCATAGTTAGGCCTGAGTAAAGGCATTTTTAAAATAAAACAGGGTGCTAGTGTTTGGCCTCAGCAGAGTTCCCAACATAGTAAAGATTTCATGTCAGTATTAATCTAGATTTGTTGATCTGTTAATGTTGCTATTTGAAGTATATGTAGACCCCTGTTGATTATCATTTTGTGGCTCGTTGTTGATTAGAATGGGAGGAAACCAGTTGTGCTCGTGTTGTCAAACACTTCTGCTAGAAAGCTCATGGGCCTTGTAAATATTTCTTGAATAAATGAGGAGACTGTATTTTTAGCGTGAGTACTGTTTTTGTTTATATATAAAAAGATGGGGTTTCACCGTGTTGGTCAGGCTGGCCTTGAACTCCCAACCTCAGGTGATCCGCCTGCCTTGGCCTCCAAAGTGCTTGGATTACAGGCATGAGCCACCACACCCGGCCGCGTGAGTACTGTTTTAACAAAGGTCTGACTTTTTTATACTTTTCTTCATTTTATGTGAATTAAATGAAGTTCGGTTGCATTTTGTGCCTATATCTCTCTGAAGTATGACTCTGATGTTAACTAGTGTTACAACAGAGTTCTTAAACTGGTCAAATCTGGCTCATAGAAATCTGATTAAAAGGTTTTTTTTTTTTTTTTTTTTTTTTTTTTTTTTTTTTTTTTTTTTTTTTTTGAGATGGAGTTTTGCTCTTGTTGCCCAGGCTGGAGTGCAATGGGTCATCAAAACCTGCACCTCTTGGCTTCAAGCGATTCTCCCGCCTCAGCCTCCTGAGTAGCTGGGATTACAGGCATGTGCCACCATACCTGGCTAATTTTGTATTTTTAGTAGAGACAGGGTTTTTCCATGTTGGTCAGCCTGGTCTCGAGTTCCTAACCTCAGGTGATCTGCCTGCCTCGGCCTCTTAAAGTTCTGGAATTATAGGCATGAGCCACCGTGATTGGCCTAAAAGTTCTTTAATTAATTGCCATAATTGAGACAAATTTCTTTCGTTTCCTTCCTCCCTTCCTTCCTTCCTTCCTTCCTTCCTCCCTCCCTCCCTCCCCCTCTCTCTTTCTTTCTTTTCTCTCTTTTCGTCTGTTTTCTCTTTCTTTTCTTTCAAGTCTTGCTCTGTTTCCCAGTTTGTATGGAGTGCAGTGGCATGATCTCAGTTCACTGCAACTCCCTCTTCTTGGGTTCAAGTGATTTTCCTGCCTCAGGCTCCCAAGTAGCTGGGGTTACAGGTGCCCACCACCATGCCTGGCCAATTTTTGTATTCTTAGTAGTGAAAGGGTTTTGTCATGTTGGCCAGGCTAGTCCTGAACTCCTGATTTCAAGTGATCCTCCCACCTCACCCTCCCAAAGTGCTAGGATTACAGGCATGAGCCACTGTGCCCAGCCTGACAGAATTTTTTTTATAGAAATCAAAATTAGGCCGGGCGCGGTGGCTCACGCCTGTAATCCCAGCACTTTGGGAGGCCGAGGCGGGTGGATCACGAGGTCAAGAGATCGAGACCATCCTGGTCAACATGGTG